TGGATATCATGTTTAGTGTTATTTTGAGTCCGAGTGTTGTGTGGACATCATGTTTAGTGTTACCACGAGTGTGAGTGTTGTGTGGATATCATGTTTAGTGTTACCATGAGTGTTGTGTGGACATCATGTTTTTAGTGTTACCGTGAGTGTTGTGTGGACATCATGTTTAGTGTTACCTTGAGTGTGAGTGTTGTGTGGATATCATGTTTAGTATTACCGTGAGTGTTGTGTGGACATCATGTTTAGTGTTACCATGAGTGTTGTGTGGACATCATGTTTAGTGTTATCATGAGTGTGAATGTTGTGTGGACATCATGTTTAGTGTTATCATGAGTGAATGTTGTGTTGACATCATGTTTAGTGTTTCCATGAGTGTTGTGTGGACATCATCTTTAGCGTTACCGTGAATGTGAGTGTTGTGTGGACATCATGTTTAGTGTTACCTTGAGTGTGAGCGTTGTGTGGACATCATGTTTAGTGTTACCTTGAGTGTGAGCGTTGTGTGGACTTCATGTTTAGTGTTACCATGAGTGTTGTGTGGACATCATGTTTAGTGTTACCGTGAGTGTGAGTGTTGTGTGGACTTCATGTTTAGTGTTACCACGAGTGTGAGTGTTGTGTGGACATCATGTTTAGTGTTACCATGAGTGTTGTGTGGACATCATGTTTAGTGTTACCGTGAGTCCGAGTGTTGTGTGGACATCATGTTTAGTGTAACCACGAGTGTGAGTATTGTGTGGACATCATGTTTAGTGTTACCACGAGTGTGAGTATTGTGTGGACATCATGTTTAGTGTTACCACGAGTGTGAGTATTGTGTGGACATCATGTTTAGTGTTATCGTGAGTGTGAGTATTGTGTGGACATCATGTTTAGTGTTACCACGAGTGTGAGTGTTGTGTGGACATCATGTTTAGTGTTACCATGAGTATTGTGTGGACATCATGTTTAGTGTTACCGTGAGTGTGAGTGTTGTGTGGACATCATGTTTAGTGTTTCCATGAGTGTTGTGTGGACATCATGTTTAGTGTTACCATGAGTGTGAGTGTTGTGTAGACATCTTGTTTAGTGTTACCATGGGTGTGAATGTTGTGTGGACATCATGTTTAGTGTAACCGTGAGTGTGAATGTTGTGTGGACATCATGTTTAGTGTTACCATGTGTGTTGTGTGGACATCATGTTTAGTGTTATCATGAGTGTGAGTGTTGTGTGGACATCATGTTTAGTGTTTCCATGAGTGTTGTGTGGACATTATGTTTTGTGTTATCATGAGTGTGAGTGTTGTTTGGACATCATGTTTAGTGTTAGCATGAGTGTGAATGTTGTGTGGACATCATGTTTAGTGTAACCGTGAGTGTGAATGTTGTGTGGACATCATGTTTAGTGTTACCATGTGTGTTGTGTGGACATCATGTTTAGTGTTATCATGAGTGTGAATGTTGTGTGGACATCATGTTTAGTGTTTCCATGAGTGTTGTGTGGACATCATGTTTAGTGTTACCGTGAGTGTTGTGTGGACATCATGTTTAGTGTTACCTTGAGTGTGAGCGTTGTGTGGACTTCATGTTTAGTGTTACCGTGAGTGTTGTGTGGACTTCATGTTTAGTGTTACCGTGAGTGTGAGTATTGTGTGGACATCATGTTTAGTGTTACCACGAGTGTGAGTATTGTGTGGACATCATGTTTAGTGTTACCACGAGTGTGAGTATTGTGTGGACATCATGTTTAGTGTTACCACGAGTGTGAGTATTGTGTGGACATCATGTTTAGTGTTACCGTGAATGTGAGTGTTGTGTGGACTTCATGTTTAGTGTTACCGTGAGCGTTGTGTGGACTTCATGTTTAGTGTTACCGTGAATGTGAGTGTTGTGTGGACTTCATGTTTAGTGTTACCGTGAGTGTTGTGTGGACTTCATGTTTAGTGTTACCGTGAGTGTGAGTGTTGTGTGGACATCATGTTTAGTGTTACCACGAGTGTGAGTATTGTGTGGACATCATGTTTAGTGTTATCATGAGTGTGAGTGTTGTGTGGACATCATGTTTAGTGTTACCACGAGTGTGAGTATTGTGTGGACATCATGTTTAGTGTTACCGTGAGTGTGAGTATTGTGTGGACATCATGTTTAGTGTTACCTTGAGTGTGATTGTTGTGTGGACTTCATGTTTAGTGTGACCTTGAGTGTGAGTGTTGTGTAGACATCATGTTTAGTGTTTGCAATGAAATGTGCCTTTACAAATTAATTTCCCCTTTCCTGTTGGCCACTGAGATTAAAACCACCATGTGAATTGTACACTAAACCAGAAATTTCAATTGGCTGTACGTTTTCACATGTTTTAAGGGATGATGGCTGGATTGTGTACGCATCTTGTTCAAGGGATTATGACTGGATTGTGTAGGAATCTTGTTAAAGTGATTATGACTGGATTGTGTGGGCTTCTTGTTTAAAGGACATGACTAGATTGTGTAGGCCTCTTGTTAATGTTATAATGACTGGACTGTGTAGGTCTCTTGTTAAAGGGATTATGACTGGATTATGTAGGCATTTTGTTGAAAGGATCATGGCTGGATTGTGTAGGCCTCTTGTTAAAGGGATTATGACTGGATTGTGTAGGCATCTTGTTAAAGGGATTATGACTGGATTGTGTAGGCATCTTGTTTAAAGGACATGACTGGGTTGTGTAGGCATCTTGTTAAAGGGATCATGACTGGGTTGTGTGGGCATCTTGTTAAAGGGATCATGACTAGATTGCGTAGGCATTTTGTTTCAAAGGATTGTGACTGAATTGTGTGGGCCTCTTGTTAACAGGATAGTGACCGGATTGTGTGAAGTTATCTTGTTAAAGAGATTATGACTTGATTGTGTTGGCATCTTCTTACAGGGATCGTGACTGGTTTTGTGTAGACATTTTTTAAAGGATTATGACTAGATTGTATGGGCCTCTTGTTTAAAGGACATGACTAGATTGTCTATTCATCTTGTTTAAGGATCACGTCTGGATTGTGTAGGCATCTTGTAAAGGGATCAAGAGTGAACTATGTGGACATTGTGTTGTAGGAGTTTATTATTCTAGTGTATTTGTTTCTATTGCTGTCTTCAGCCAGTTTCACTTTACTGAGGTAGTTTTAAGATCAATCTTTAACTATGTTAGCAATGTTTTTTCTTCTGTTTGTTGAAATTGAAAATTTAATATGTTTGATTTCCTGTGTTCTAGCTCGTCTACGTTTTACCAATGTCAAGGCTAGTGATGGTCAAGATGGAAAAGCTTATGCTTGTATGGCCATGAATGGAATTGTCCGCAAAAACACACAGGGAGCACGCCAGTTTATTCAACCCCGGGGATGTAAGTATTTCAGTTCTCTGGTGATTTCATTGATGATATAACCTTGTTCTTTGTCCCTGTGTTCATAGTGTTAGCAATTATTATTTATATTTTGGCAATGTTTGGTTTGCAGCTTCAGAAGTTCAGCGAGTAGTCACCTACATGTGGGCTTCCCCCTCTGATCATTATGGACTACGTGGAGATGAATTTAGGATCAAATGTATATTTGCTGGAAAGTAAGTCAAGCTTCAATCGTTAGAGCAATCCTCTTTGAACCAGCAATAGGCAGTGAAATAAGTGTTGTGTAATCTGATTACTGTGTGGACTAAAAAAGTATAACATGGGCGGATCTGGGTGGGGGGTAGGGGTGGTCAGGGGGTTCAAACCACCACCACAAACCCCCTGAACCCAGCACTTTCAAAATTCCTGGATCCGCCCATGGTATAAGCTAAGGCTTCAAACCATGACGCGATGAAGAGTCGGAGAGTCAACATTGCTAACAGCCTGTGAAATGGGACAGTTTCAGCATGTTTGTTGGAATTTACTTTAACAGATTATTCTTCCATTTTGAACAAACTGACAGATGTCTCACTAAAGAATTCATGCATCCATATCGTGTATTTGTTCTTTCTTTAAGTTGAATCCATCCCATCAAAATGCTTCAAATTAGTCTTGAAATGTTTTGAAAATAATTTGATTAATACAAGTGGATAGACAAGGTCAGGTCGAGAACTGATGTTCTTGGAGTGGAAGTCTGTATTCAATTACTTTAAAGGCTTTGAGCACATGTTGGTTGAGGTGTTACATCTGTTTGTGTCAAGTTAGTGTCAAGGCCAGTATATGCCACTTTCTACCAGTTCTGTATTGGGTGTATTGGTTTGTTTTTTGTGTAAAATCAATGAGCATCATAACTGTGAGCTGATTTATTGCTGATACTTGTGTCATGTCAAACATGTTAACTTAATGTAATGCACTAAACTCCACGCCAGAAGATGATGTTGTACAGCAAATGAATTAATGATGTGACGGTCATCAGATTGAGCATTACACAGAGCAGCCCTGGAGGAGGAATGTTATGGATTGTTGTCTTTTCAGTCCCACACCAGATGTGCACTGGGAGCGGGTTGATGGCAAGCCTCTGCCTGACCACGTCAAACAGAGTAGCTTTGGGCAGGAACTTGTGTTTTCGAGTTTGGAGGATTCGGATGCTGGAGACTATGAATGTTGGGCTACTAATGATCAGACTCCACAGAGAGTTCAGAGAACCATGTCCGTCAACGTGAAGTGTAAGTAAAGCATATGCTCCAGATTTTCAATAAGTAGGTTCAGAAAGTTGAATGTAATGTCCCAAACTTCCCACAAGCAGGCCACAATAGTTGAATGTGTTAAAAATATTTGTTCTGCATTTTCTATTAGCAGGTTAAATAGTTGAATGTAAGTAGAAGATTTGATTTAGATATTTCCTAAGAATTGAAATACTGATATCTGCTAATGAGTTTACTTGTTCTTGTTTTGATAGAGTGGTGTCTTCCATATTGTATGTTGTATTCAGTTCACAATCTCACTGTCTGACTGTTCATCATGTTGAATGATTTACAGTTGTATAAACAAGGAATTAGTCTTGCTGGTTTCGATGAAAACTCCATCTCAATTTGATCCTTGATATTCCTTTTGGCAGCCCGTCCCTACTGGATTGAGGAACCACAAGATGTTGAGTTGGGTATTGGAGGGACTGCTCGCTTCAAGTGCCTGGCAAAAGCAGACCCATCTCCTGATATATACTGGTTTATCAACAGTGTAGCCTTTGGACGTAAGTGAAGAACACCACAATATATATTTTTGTTGGTTTCTCTGATAGCCACACCTAACATCTCCTACTCCTGGTCTCCCAAATATATATTTTAAACTTATCCTATCTCACGTAGGGTACTCTTCTTGATTCAACAGCTGAGTGGAAATGAACTGCAAACGAAGTTTCCGGCCTCTCTTGTACCATTCGCCCAAACACTCCCTCTGCTCCCACACAATGACACACACACCTCAGCCTCAGTGAAGCATGCAGCATACCCTGATTGGTCATGTGACTCCCTTGTCTGATCATTCTCTTCAGTGTAGTGCAGACGTACTATAACAAGGGAAGAAATCGGAATTTGAATTAGCCCACCATGGTTAAACAAGATTCTACATCAAGGACAAGAAAATTCTGCTCTCAATGCAAGAAGATTTCCTATTCATTGGACCCCCACTCGTCATGCATAGATTGCATTGGTTTATGCAGTTGGGATAAGAGATGCAATTATTGCAAGAACTTAAACGATGACTCATTTGCGGTCTACAGTAGAGTTGGGATTCAGTGGTTATCAGACAGGGATTCAAGGGACAAATCAGAGTGAACGTGCACCTTGAAGAAAACTTAAACACAATTGGTTAAAATCTCATAATTGATGATTGGTTCATTACTACCGATCAATCATCAAAAATAATTGGTAAGCGTCATTTATGAAATTTGTTAATGAACATTAAAATAAAGGGAAAAAAATGTAGTTCTTCTGGTTTTTTGGGGCAAAATTTCACATCTTTAAAGGTTGACTTCTTGGAATCTTTAAGATAAATTCAATCATGACTTGAAACAAGTTTGTAGTGCTTATGGAATGTAACAGACAAAACCAACCATGTGAAAAATATTGTTAATGAAAACAAGTGTTCCAGAATTGTTAGTGTTCGCTTATGAGAAATAATGATCGATTGCTTGGTCGTTTAGTCACTACGACCAATCTTTGGTTATTTCAATTAATCGGACCACCACTAGTGCATTGTTCCAGTTGATGCCTCAAAACCTGAATCAGCTCATGGAGCTGGTGCAGGAAGACAGTGACTCTTGGACATTTGTGCACGACTGGGACCTTACGCCCCCAGTCATCCCAGTCTCAGATACTCCAGTAGGCGGAAGACTTGGTCACTTCACCCGGAAATGGAAGATGTTAGAAGACCCATTCGTATTGACTACCTTGACTTGGGTACATACTGCTGCTCCTGGGGTCGCATCCACTGACTTTCGACGCGGTTCGACAACCTATCCAGCTGCGCAGATGACCTCACTTGGAACCACTATAGTTACGTTTCCCTGGCTTCTGGTCCCCAAGAAAGATTCAGATAAACTTCAAGTCATCTTCAACATGAAGTTGTTCATTGCTCAGTACCTACAGCCGCCTCCCCAGTTCTGAATGGTATCAGTCAGCCTTCTGAGGACCATTCTGAAGCCAGGAGATTACATGATCAGTCTCGACCTTCCGGATGCCTACCTGCATGTTCCAATATACCTAAGACATCACAAGTACCTGCGGTTATTTTTCGAGGTCATCCAATACCAGTGGAGAGTCATCATTTCTATTGCCCTTTTAACCGGTATTAATAATACTGACTCAACAATTGCAGTTCATCGGGGGCTGTCTTCGACACTCGTTAAATATTCGTTCCCCAAGACAGGTGGTTGGGAATTCAACGCCATGTACCTCTAACGCTATCTCAACAGAGATCTTTGCGACAATGGCAAGCTACGTGGACTTCTCACGTCAGCTCAAGCCCTCACCTACAGAGGTCAGCTTCAACTTTGGCCGATCGATCCAAAGGTTTCTGCAACCGTATCTGAGGATCGACGATCCCAATGTACTGATTCATCTACCTTCGTCGCTCCATCCCTTTCTACGTTGGTGGCTCGGTGAACAGAATGCTTGCAGAGGAGTCTCTTTGCCGCCATTCAAACCCACTCATCAACTATTCGTAGATGCATCCTACCAAGGATTGGAATTCTCATCTACTTGATCTACAAGTGACAGGGCTGTGATCAACTGACGTATAGTCCCTTCACATCAATGAAGTGGAAGTCAAGGACGTTATTCTGGCAATAAGACATTTGGCACAAGACCATCAGTCAGCAAACCTTCTTATTCAATCAGACAACTCTACTGTGGTTAAGTACATTAGTCGCCTCGGATCAACAGGCTCAGCACATCTCTTGGAGTAGGCGTTTCAGTTTTTTTCACCTGAGAAACTCCCTAAACATCGTAGCAAGAGCCAGACACATTCCAGGGTTCAGGAATGACATCTCCGATGCATTATCCCGATCCGGCTGACCATCTCCGATGGAATGGAAACTACATCCTTAGATCTTCATATCGATTTTTCTCCCAACATCATCTCCTCAGATAGACCTGTTTGTGACCAGATTCAACAATCAGCTTCCCAGATTTTTTTCTCCCATTCAAGAGCAAAGGCTTGGGACCTAGATGCTCTAACAATGTCCTGGGAAGACCTCAATGTTAGCATGTTTCACTAGCTCTACTTCCAAGAGTACTTCAAAAACTTCAGTCCACCAAGCAGATGACGCTGATTTTGGTTGCTCCTTATTGGCCAACGTGGAGTTGGTTCGTCGACCTACGAAATCTTGCTGATCCCAATCCGCTGCCTCTACTTAGTCGAAACGACCTACGGGTCCATCCACACTCAGGGTCTTACCAAATCCCTGATAGCTGAAGGATATTCTAGGAGAATGGCTATCGCCTTGGATCAACATACCTCCACTTGGTCACTTTATGAGTAGAAGAAATTCAGATTGAAGTGTATCCAGTCTTCTACTGCTTCCGCTCAGGCTGTTGCAGTGTATTTGCAACATCTGCATATGTCTAGAAAAGTGAAGGCATCAACACTAAAGTTCTGTTGGAAATAGAAAAAAAAATGTTTTTTCACATTTATATCTACAAGTTATGTAGTTATGTGAAAGTGTGAAATATCTGTTAAACTAAATTCAGCCTAACTATAGTTCAGTGGTAGGGAGATAGGAAACATAGAAAAAGGACTTTACTGAGGAGAGATTAGTGCAGAAATGAGCAAAGCGACTTATTTCGAACAGACCATGGCTTTATGCAAATTGGATTGCGATGATATTGTATTACAAAGGACTCTTTTTAAATGTCCATTTTGAAATTTAACTTAGCTTCATTATAAACTATAGCTGCCGTAAAAAATAATAACTTTAATGCTGAAACTATTAAGGATGTAGGTGTGGTATAAGTTATTCTACTATTAACTGTACAACCCTGACTGGGCCCCAGTACTATTTATAGTGCAAGGTAGTGTAAGGGGGATAACTCTAATTGCCCTTGTTCTAGAGAGTTGAGAGCACATGGCCACTGTCTTGCCATGCTTGTTATGTAAGCCCATCTTGAGCTGGAATAAACTAGGGCTGGGACAGATACTTGGGTACCCAAATCCGGGTCCCCAACAGCTGGAATTGAGTCTTATTTCGAGGATTTGAGTATCTGTAAAGGCAGAGAACTCTGTAATGGCAAGGGCATGTAACTCTAACCTACAGCAAAATGGTCGACACACGTGCTGGGTTCAGTGTTTGGGCTCATTATGATCTTGATGCAAATGGCAAGAGAACCAAAGGCCGACTCTGTGGTACCATGCTATACATTGCGGAAGCAGTACAACTTCATTGCACAAACATCTTGCAATAAAACACACTGCAAAACCTAAATATGTTCATTACTTTGTGTAACTGTGTTCATTGCTTATTAAGTTAGTTCATAAAAAGCTTTTAAAGGTCACATGCAACGTAAAACACAACTTTGCAGATTCTGATACCTTTCGGTATGGACTTACCGAAACAAATCATCAAAAATGCAAATTCAACTTATAAAGTTGAAAAATAACGCGATAAAAAAAACCGCGCGAAATCGGAGCTCAAACGTTTCACTAATTTTCCCCAGACTTTTCTGGGGAATACGGGTTTCAACAGCTGGGCTGCACTCATAGCACGTGCGCCGTGAAATAGGTTCGCGCAACTTGGAAGCGGGCTGTCTGGTGAATACTCGGTGAAGGCTTTGGTGTGAGCTATTTTCATAATGTTTTGTTGATATCTCACAGTAGCGAACTTTTATATGTTATGACAGTAAATAAACTGTTTATATAATTTCATTTGTCTATTTCACCACACGTTCTTCTTACCGAGTCACTTTCTCAGTTCGATACTTAAAAGCAATGTCATTATTTAGCGTTGACACAATTTCTAACTGTGATATAGATATACCGCTGTCACAGACAAAACTCAATGTCTTGTTTTATTGACACCTGTGTGTCGGCCTGCCTGTCTGCTAATGACAATATTCAATACACAACTGCGATCACTGACCACATGCAATTTGAACTTAACACCAATCAGGCTATACACCATAAACAAAACGCATTGATTTATGGCCTGAGTTCGGTCTCTGTCACATTATGTAATTACACAGACAGGCAGGTGTGGTACTTGAACACATGACATGTTATGATGTCTGTTGATTGCAAAATGTTATACACAAAAAATGAGCATGTATTTACAAAACCCAACATCTCTGTATATACACACACAATGACCCGTGAAGGCGGCATCTGCTAATGAACCAGCCGTTACACTTGAGTGCACACCCACCCGCTCTGACTGGGTTCGGTATCCCGGCTGCTTCGTTTCGAGGGAGGTAAACCCAAGTACAAAATATTGCACTTTTGATTTGTGATTATACGCTTATAATTTTGTTTATTTGTTTTTTCATAACCAACAATGTATATTATATGTCATGAATAAGTGATAATTGTGTTTTAATTATGTTTGATTTTTTGGTTGCATGTGACCTTTAAGATTACATTCAATTTTGTCTTTAGTTTTTATTTTATTTCAATTTCATGAGAGCCAGTTTTTACTTTTGCTTCAAAACTGAATACATTCACTATTAAAGAAATTGCAATTAAATGACTGTATGTGTTGGGAATATCAATTAAAACTAATGAATTGACATAATAAAACAAATGTTTATTGAAAGAGACTGGCTATCATAACAATAAGAAGAAAGATTATCAGAAATGGAAGCACAACTCACCTAACTCACATATAATACCATTCAGTTACTATGTGTTATTCCAATGAAGATACGAAATGTTCACTTAGATATAACAATAGGGTTTTTTTTCATTTCAACTGATAATATAGCATTTAGATACGTTTCTTTATCCTACATTCAAAGAAAAGCATTTCAATGTGACATTTATATGAAGACCTTTAGCTTGTAATAAAGATATGATGAGGATGGCCTTAGCGTGGTACGCATACCAGATGAAAGACTACACAACGCAGATGTGTGGATGACAATGAGCGCAGTGTGGTTGGCGCAGACGGGACCGGATATATATTTTAGCTATTTGCAGCCCTCTGCCATGGAAAAGCAGACGGGCAAAGCATAGGCAAATTTTTACTCCCACCCGCAGAGACAGCAGGCAGGAAAAGCAGGCTGGTAAGGCATTGGAGACTTTGTACTTCCTCCCGCGGAGACAGCAGGCAGGAAAGGCAGGCTGCTAAGGCATTGGAAACTTTTGTACTTCCTCCTGCGGAGACAGCAGACAGGAAGGTTTGGCCTGCCACTGTAAAAGCAGAAGCCAAGAATCCATTTTTTAAGCAGATTTGGTGTTAAGTCCCGTCGGCACCAAGCCCACTGCGCCTATTTATTAAGGAAGGTGCAAAAGATTAAGGTACAGGTTATACTTCCTGTGGACTGTACAGTGAAGACTTAATATAAGTCGTACAGTTAACGACCTCAGCGCCCAGCACCCCCATCCCAACCTGGATATTGCGCTGTAGAAGGGAAGGGTGGGTGGGAAATTATTTAAGATGAAGCAAAATGGATAACCTGCCGGGAGAGCATGCAGCATAGAAAGGGAACGGACATGACGTATGACTGCGGATGTGACATCACTCCAGAAGTGACGTAGCTGCTATTATGGAATGTGGAAATAATACACTGCCACGTGCGTTGCTATACTGGATACTTACTGTAAGCTGAGTGTATGAAGCTATGTGAAGGAATTGTAAATGCTGCCCACAACCAAATTGGTGAAATATGCTGTCATATTACCTGAAAGTTGAGACAGATGCTTAATGAAATACACTGCATACCGTGTTAGCTGCAGTGCCACAACGAAGGTGATTAGAAATGACATAATAAGAATTGTAGTTTAACATTACATACACGAGTGTATTACACACGCCAGGGAAGTATTAGAACTGTGGAATTGAATTGTAAATGCTGCATATAAGCCCATTTAGCAAAATAATGCTGAATGTCATTAATAATCTTCTGGAAGGATGAAACTTAAATCACTATAAATATTTCAAGTATGGTTAATGAGTTATTCACGGCTCTGTATTACTCTGTACTGTGTAATGTATGATATGCAAACTGTAATGCAACTTAGTTGCGCAACAGAGCAAAATGACCAGTCTTTCTTGATGAGAGCGAAGCATTTTGCTATTTTGCTTAACTCAGTTGCATCTCAGTTTGCCTGTCTCTATATCTCGTATAGAATTCTCCAGTCTCAATATAATTTGACTGATGTATTTTCTATGTAAGTTCAGATAAAGTCTACATGTAAAACGTTATAGGTTCAGTTAGAATATCACATCTGAAGGTAATTGTCTACTGGTTGAATAAATAACTTGCCTTTTTCATTATTGACGCAACACACATTTACATCTTTGGTAATGTCCGGTTAATGGATGTTATTAATTTATCTGCGCATGAGCAGTGAGTAGTGAAGTCACAGTAACAGTGCGAACAAAAAGCTCTGCGTTTTAATAAGGAATGTAAGTAATGGTGTTACTCTTTATATTTGTGAAACACATAAATTAAATAGCCTAAGATTAATTTCAGTATCTTATTGCCATCCTTTCAAGATTAATATAGTAATTTCTGTCAAATTGTGATTGAATAATCAGAAACTGGACAGAATGGCTGTATTCCTTGCATTTCCGGGTACTCGATTCCGATTCGGGTAACTACATGTGGGTACTCATTTCCATTTTAATACCCCCGCTATGAGGTAACAGGGGTATATAGCGTTCATTCTGTCCTTCCTTCCGTCCGTCCTTCCGTCCCGAAACTTTGTCCAGAGCATATCTTAAAGTTTACATGCTAGGTTCACCAAACTTCACACACATGTTAATCATTACCCATTGATGTGCCTTTTGCTATTTTAATGTTTTTTCAGAATTTTGATTTTTTGCTGTTTCCATGGAAACACGACTTTGTGCCAAATGTGTTTGATGGTTACCTGGCCACATCATATCATCGAAACTATACATGCTAGGTTCACCAAACTTCACACACATGTTAATCATTACCCATTGATGTGCCTTTTGCTATTTAAAGTTTTTTCAGAATTTTTTTTTTTTTTCAGTTTCCATGGAAACACGACTTAGTGCCAAATGTGTTTGATGGTTTTGTCCGGAGCATATCTCTTAAAGTGTACATGCTAGGTTCACCAAACTTAATACACAAGTTAATCATGACCCACAGATATGCCGTGTGCTAAAAAATAAAAATCTTCATGTACGTCCACTTCATTGTGTGCAACATGAGACAGTCAAGTTCAATTGTATGTCAGGTTTCCACGGAAAACACATATAAATAATGTTTCCATAAAATATTAAATGTAATCAGTAGATGGCAAAACTATTATCTAACATGTATGTAAAGTTTATTAGAGTCAAGGAGAAAGTCTTGTGAGCTGCTGATCCTTGTCACATTATATATATCAATATCAGTCATTTCCATGTCCCAACGTGGGAAGCGGGGGTATGTGAGCTGTGCTCACTTCTACACTTGTTTCCTTCCCGTCCCAGTCCTAGAATAAACCCACATAATTCAGTGATAGTTGTCCTTCATATCACAACATGGTGTGAGAAGTGGTTCAAGGCTCATCATGGCAAACTTTCAGATCATTCCACCTGATTCTTTTTACTTTTCTAACCCTGACTCGTTGGATCAGAAGATTTGAGAGATACCGGATCACTTCCAGGCTATCTTCTAAGGACTCAGGTGAATCAGTTGTTGTATCTAATGGGTGCTGAAGCAGATGATATTCTCCCTACGTTTTCTCTCAGTGAGGATCAAGAAAATGACAATGATACAGTAAAGCAGAAATTGGATGATTATTTCTCAGTGTGCAGGAATGTGATATTTCAGAGGGCAAAATTCAATCAGTGAGGCCATAAAGAGGGAGAACCTGTTGATTCCTTCATTACTGATCTGTGTTCTCTTGCTGAAAATTACAATTATGGTTCTCTTCATGACGAGATGATCCCAGACAGAATAGTTGTTGGAATTCGTGATATGAGCCTGTCAGAAAAACTCCAGCATGATTCTAATCTCACTCTACAGTCTGCTGTTAGTCATGTGCGCCAGTCAGAAATTATTCACAAACAGCAACCAGTTATTCTTGGAGCTACAAGTAAGCCTGATGTAACTAGCAATTCCAATGTGGAGGAAGTAGTGTCTCCATCAGCAAAATCCAAGAAATCACAGCACAAGCCAAAATCAAAGAAATCTTGTCCATTCATTGATCGCTCCAAGCCTAAACCAACATGCAAATATTGTGGAAAGAATTCTCATCCTAGAAGTGAGTGTCCTGCATCTAATTCTAACGTGTCGCAAATGTGGTAAAGCCGGACATTGGGATGTTGTGTGTCGAAGTCAGAAGTCAGATCTACTCCGAAGTCTCCTACAAATGAGCCTGAGTATGCCTTTGTTGGGATGCTCAGCACAAGTTCATCTCAGCCATGGACTGTAAACCTGAAGATAAATTCATCTGTCACAGAAGAATTCAAGACTGACACAGGGGCTGACATTATTCCGTATGATGTCTCCACTTCTCAGTATCTTCCCCGTCTACAGAGAAGGACAAGAGACTACAACTCAGGGATGCATGCTTTAGATGTCCATCGGATATTCTTTGGAAGAAACATGGCAAGGTCTTCTTGGGTCTCTGATGGGGTTTCATCATGAAGAACCAGTTGCCATGACATCCAAATAGAATGTTCACTATGTTCACTGCAGTTGTCCTCTATCATTTGGCCTGTGAATCTTGAAAATCTTTCAGTCTGTCCGAGCACTGAAGTTCTGTTTTAGTATTACTGCCCCGAGACAAGTGGTTGTCGCCCGGAGCAAGACACATGTTTTGAATGACCTTACAGTGACTGCCAGATATAGCTGTGCTGTGTTTGATTGAGGTATTAACAGAGGCTAAGGACTTTGTTCCAGGTTGTTTCCACTCCAGGATTGTAAGAACAAAAAGTACAAAACATGAGATAGGATAAGTATTATAAATATACAAATTATTGGTATAATTTCAATATTCCACTTTGCAAACAATTACAATCAGTTATGGAGGGGAATAGATGTCCTTTGGTCCTTGTTAAGCCTGGTTAAGACATAGGTTTGTGGTGGTTATTTACTGTATTGTCTATCTTTTCCAGAGGCTAACCCGAACAGTCGGATCAAGAAAATTTCTAATGATGAGGTAATGGTGGTGAATGTCACGAAGGAAGATGCCATGGTGATCCAGTGTAATGTCACCAACAAGCACGGCTACATCTGGGGAGACGTCTACCTCAACGTACTCTGTAAGTATCAACTACATCCACAGGAGGTGGTGGGGTAGAAGTGGTCGGAAGCAACCTATCTTGTCGTGTATTGGGTGGTCAGACTATGGGAGCTGATTAGGGGCATGTCATTGTACCCTGGTGGTATGGGTCAATGTTCATACCATCAATCGACCGTCTCTGTGGTGTAGTGGTCAGACTATGGGAGCTGATTAGGGGCATGTCATTGTACCCTGGTGGTATGGGTCAATGTTCATACCATCAATCGACCGTCTCTGTGGTGTAGTGGTCAGACTTGGGGAGCTGATTACTATAGGGGCATGTCATTGTACCCTGGTGGTATGGGTCAATGTTCATACCATCAATCGACCGTCTCTGTGGTGTAGTGGTCAGACTAAGGGAGCTGATTAGGGGCATGTCATTGTACCCTGGTGGTATGGGCCAATGTTCATACCATCAATCGACCGCCTCCGTGGTGTAGTGGTCAGACTAAGGGAGCTGATTAGGGGCATGTCATTGTACCCTGGTGGTATGGGTCAATGTTAATACCATCAATCACTGGATTGTCTGTCAAGGTTTGATTAGTGGCAGACTGTCATGTAGTTGAAATATTTGCGGCATTACACAACAAGCAAATCTGCTGTTCATGTAAACATTGTATAATCTGATAATGAGTGATGTTATGTTTATTGCATGGTTATGCAATAATCTGTTCTATTATTATACCCCCGTTACGAAGTAACGGGGGTATATAGCGTTCATTCTGTCAGTCCATCCGCCCGTCCTGAAACTTTGTCCAGAGCATATCTCTTAAAGTTTACATGCTACGTTCACCAAACTTCACACACATGTTAATCATTACCCATTGATGTGCCTTTTGCTATTTTAAAGTTTTTTCAGAATTTTATTTTTTTGCTGTTTCCATGGAAACACGACTTAGGCTGTGACTATGAGGATGTCATCTTGTCCGGAGCAGATCTTCCAAACTATACATGCTAGCTTCGTCAAACTTGGTACACATATCAAGCATGATCCCTCAATGTGCCTTTTGGGGTTTAGATCCAGATATGAATTTTATTTTTTGCTGTTTCCATGGAAACATGACAGTGCCAAATGTGTTCGATTATTTTGTCCAGAGCATATCTCTTAAAGTTTACAGGCTAGGTTCACCAAACTTCACACACATGTTAATCATTACCCATTGATGTGCCTTTTGCTATTTCAAAGGATTCCAGAATTATTATTTTTTTGCTGTTTCCATGGAAGCATAACTTAGTGCCAAATGTGTTTGATGGTTTTGTCCGGAGCATATCTCTTAAAGTTTACATTCTAGGTTCATGTAAAATGTGTTTGATGGTTACCTGACCACGGCATATGATCGAAACTATACATGCTAGGTTCACCAAACTTAATACAAAAGTTAATCATGACCCACAGATATGCCATGTGCTAAAAAATAGCAATCTTCATCTACGTCCACTTCATTGTGTGTAACATGAGACAGTCAAGTTCAATTGTATGTCAGGTTTCCACGGAAAACACAAAAAAATCTAGTTTCCATAAATTATGACTGTAATCAGTACATGCCAAAACTATTATCTAACATGTATATAAAGTTTATTAGAGTCAAGGAGAAAGTCTTGTGAGCTGCTGATCCTTGTCACATTATATATATCAATATCAGTCATTTCCATGTCCCAACGTGGGAAGTGGGGGTATGTGAGCTATGCTCACTTCTACACTTGTTTCATTGACAGTCTGCTGCTCATTCTTAATGTTATGTTTTGAAGTTCAGGTTCATGAATAAAGCATGCGTTCTGTATTACAACAAGCAAATCTGATGCTCATGTAAACATTGTATTTATTATCTGATAATAATTGATGTTATGTTTATTGCATGGTTATTGAATATTCTAATCTTATTATTTGATTGACATCATTTTCATGTTCATTGAAAGTCCTCTGCTCATTCTTCATGTTATGTTTTGAAGGTCAGGTTCATGAATATACAATGTAGTCTGTTTGGTCTGACTTGACCTAGGCTGTCACCATGGTCAAAATGGGAAATAAACATCAGTGATGTGTAATGAATGTGTGCGCATCTATAGAAAAGTATAATTTTCTGCGTAATTCAACTACCGGTAAAATCAACTGAAATCTTAAACTAGTGAGCAAAAGATAGTATACCACCAGGGTTCGAAATACCTGCCTGCCCGACCGCCCGAGACCGGTTATTTTCAACATGGACTGCCAGATTCTCAAATTCACCTGCCCGACGGTCGGGTTAAAATTTACACATGTACCGGTATATGAAGATATTTTGTGGGCAGGTAAGTTTTGGACAGGGCTGGCAAGTTTTACACCTAACCAGCCCTGTGGTTCGGCTGAAATTTTGGGAGTTTCATACCCTGATACCACCTAATAATGTCAAACAAACAAATACCAATACAGCGTAAAAACAATAATATTTGCTTATCTGTTGTAGTGCTAAATGATGAAATGTATCACTTTATAAGTTGAAATGGACAATAATGCCCAATAACATCAAAAAACATGTTTTGCATGTGCAGCTCCAAAACTTTGGGTCCTTCCTGTCCTTGCTTACCGTCAATGTGTCCGGATAACATACAGCTAAGGCCAGATTAACACTGCAACACCGCGAGAGGGCCATAGGAATTCGTCAAATGGGGGCAACACAACGCCATGGTTCAACTTCAAGAACGTTTAATTGCATGACTACAACCATCAGTAAGTTGTTTCAGGACAAGGTCGGGTAGGCCACGTGTCATGACACCCCTGCGGAGACTGACATTTGCTCACTCTCCACCTACATAATCATTCCCTAACTGTGACGTCATCAGCAATGACAGGTTTGAATCATCATGTCAGCAGATGGACTTTGTCCAGGCGACTACGTGATTGAGGGATCAGATGTCGGCGACCTATACATGGCGTCTAGTTGACTCCTCAACATCGTCTCAGCAGGTTTGGTGGAGGCGGAGTCACTGTTTGGGGCGGCATTTGTGGCCAGGAGAAGACGCCAATACATATCGTTCATGGAAACATCAATGCTGTATTTTACAGGGATAACATCTTGAGGCCATTAGCCATACTATTCTTTCATCAACGTCCCCAAAGAACCCTCCTGCAACACGACAACACAAGGCCACATGTCGCATTCCTTGTCCATGACTACCTTCAACAGCAGAATGTTCAAGTTCTACCATGGCCTACTTGTTCCCCACACATGGACCCTATCAAGCACCTCTTGGATCACCTTGATCATGCCAAAAGATGCAGAAATATTGTGCCAGATAACAGAGCACAACTGGAACAGGCTTTGGTTGATGAGTGGAACAGGATTCCAAATGGTGTCTTCCGACAGCTCACATGGTCCATGACAAGACGCATTACTGCGTGCTTTGATGCCAGGGGTGACCATGCCAGATATTGAAGGACTCTACTGTTCTTGTGCCTGTTACTAGTGATTTTTGATTGACTGAAAAAGTGATAAATTTGGTACCTGTTGTTTTGGAAACTCATGATGTCTTACACTGGACTTTGTTTTGTTTACAATGTTACTTTAACAATGAACTTCATTTATTGTGATAGCCATGATTCGTACCAATCCATTAAACTTTATTTCGCTCAAATACAGTTTGCACTTTCGATTTTCTGTCAGTTCAATACTCTCTTTTGCTCGCTAGTTTAGTTGCCAGTTAGCTCTTTTCAAACACAAACTATGTAGTCAAGATAATCAATTGTGTGACTTTTATGTTTTGTGGAATCTATGGTGGCTAAGCTGGTAGGTCATGTTTAGTTAATCATTTTAACACTTCTAAATACCACTTTATGTGTTAAATAAATATGTGAATTCTGATTTGTTTTTTTGCAAATCGCAGTTCATTTTCTGCAAAGGTGGTCCACTCATTTAACTGTCAAGATGTGGTTTGAAAATGTACATGTGATTGCCAGCTGAAGCCCCCACTATCATGGTGCCCCCGGCCGCACAGGTGGTGGTTGCAGAAGGCCAATCAGTCAACCTGACATGTCGGACCACTGGCAAGCCTGACCCACAGATCACCTGGTTCAAAGAAGGGCGGCAGATCACAGGAGGGAGGTATCGGACTTTACTCAATGGGGATTTGCATATAGAGGTAATTACATTCTGTTCGAATTTAAAATGCTTACGTCTGCACAGTGAGTCGTGGTACAGTGGAACTTGATCTAATAATAAGGAAATCTCTGATGGCACAAGCAGCAACTATTATAATGTTTTTATTGTTGCCGATCATTTGATATATGATGCCAGCTAAAATGACTTTGATGTATTCTTTTAATTATTCACAGTGGAAACTACTACTATACATTGCTGTGATGATAAACACAACAGCATGTTGTCAACATGACTTGTTGGTTGTAATTGCCCCTGACTATTTTATTTCCTTGTTTTTCAGATGGTAGTGTTGGCTGATGCTGGGAATTTCTTTTGTGCTGCCGAGAACATATATGGTAGTCAAAATGCTAGTGGTATTCTGATGGTCAGGCGTAAAACTCAGATTGAGCAGCGACCTCTTGACCTTGAAGTCAATGCTCAGACGGATGCCAAGTTCACATGTTCCGGGACAACAGACCCTGAGGAGGTTCAGAACCTGAAAATCAAGTGGATGAAGGACAATAAGGACATCACTGCCAATGACCAAAGGATGACCACCAACAACCAGGACAACTCGCTCACCATCAGTGGCACCATCGTCCGTGACTCTGGCACTTACACCTGTATTGCTACCAATGGTCTAGACCAATCATTTGCTTCAGCCATGCTGACAGTCAAAGGTAAGATGACTAGGACAGATGCAGGGGTCACCAACAAATAAGGAAATACATAAAATTTTGGCGAGAGTCATAAAGAGAAGGGACTTCCATTAAAATCTTGAAAAATAGGTAAATGATGCTTGATGGTGCATTTAAGAGTGACAGTAGGGTAATGCTTTTCAATGAATCATCTGTCAACATCACAGTTCCCTGCCACAATAAATGAAAGATACTAATTATGTCAATGATTTCGGGATTCAGGATGAATTCCTATTTGCAGACATCATTTGGAGAGATGTTTTGGTTTATCATTTCAACAGTTTATATACCGTTCCGTGAAATCTTAATCAGTGTTTGTCAGATAATGGTCATAATCAAAGTGACGTACTGAACTTTCGTACTGAGTTTCTCTTTAACAGATTATCCTGATTTATTGCAGACCGTCCTGATGCCCCAGTTAATACCCGCATAGAGACTTGTGAGCAGGGCAACGCCACTATCCGCTGGACTCCAGGCAGCTACAACAACGCCCCTGTCCAATACTTCATTGTGCAGTACAACACCACGTTCAGCCCAGACCAGTGGATCTATGCCTTGAAAGTGGCGTCCCAGAAGACCAGTGCCAACATCACGCTGTCACCCTATGCTAACTACACGTTCCGTGTCCTGGCCTACAACAAGATTGGGGAGAGTGATCCAAGTTTCCCCACTGTCAAGATTTGCAGGACCAACCCAGCTCGACCTCTCCATCATCCAGAAAATCTCCGGACTATTGGTGATAGGAAGGGTGAACTCCATATTGAATGGACTGTGAGTGCTTTATGCCATTGTTTGTTTTATAAGAGAAAAGTCTTAACAAGCAATTTGGACTATGTTTGTTGACACAAAAATCCATAAATGTTTATACTGTGTATCTCCAGAGCTCACAAAGCCTACATGAACACTGGATCCAAGTAAATGTAGCATATATTATTACAGTAATGATACTATCATGAAAGAATTGTCTAGCATACTTTTTTATATAAAAACATGACAAGAAATGCCCTTTTGTTAGTGATTTTCTATTATTAATTGAAAATTTGAAGGTCACATGCAACACAAAACACAACTTTGCAGATTCTGATACCTTTCGGTATGGACTTACAGAAGCAAATCATCAAAAATGCAAATTCAAGTTGAAATATAACACAATGGGGGAGACACATACACACACACACGCGTCTGGCACACACACACACACGAAATCGGAGTTCAAACGATTCACTAATTTCACCCCAGCGCTGGGGTGAAAAGTGGTTTCAACAGCTATGCTGCGCGTCCCCCATAGCACATGTGCAGTGAATAGGTTCACGGAGCTTTAAACAGGATACATGTCCGGATTATAAGGTCGTGAGCAGGAGTAGTCTAATCTTGGTTGTGTACACAAACAAGTAAATAATCTACTTGTTACATAAAAAAACATGTTGATTGTGATAAGCAGCTTCTGTCACAGACAAAACTCAATGTCTCTTTTATTGACATCTATATGTCTGCCTGCCTGTCTGCTAATGACAATATGCAATACACAACTTCAATCATTGACAACATGCAATTTGAACTTAACACCTATCGGGCTTATACGCCATAAACAAAGAGCCGGCTGAGCGTATCGGCAATGAACCAGCTAATGAAAGACTTTGTTACACGTGAGTGCTCGCCAACCCACTCTGACTGGGTTCGGTTACCCGGGTGCTTCGTTTCGAGTGTAGTAAACCCAAGTACAAAATATTGCACTTTTGATTTGCGATTGTACGCTCATATTCTTTTTCATAGAGATCGTCCTTAGGGTACATATATGCATTTTCTGCGGCTGAAAATGTTATGTGATAGTTGTATCAATGTTTTAATAAAAATCTTTGTTATCTATTATACGGCCCCTACCACGTGGAGTTACCTCCCTGCTATGCATGCGCAGCCAACCAGGTAAGCACCTAGGCCCGTATCATCATTCCTTCTGCTGTCACTCAAGCGTTTACACATATTTACAACCTGAGTAACAAGCTGATTTACTTTGTGTAGAAGAATGTCTGAGACTTCAACAACTGTATGTATGGTCTTTATTCGTTCTTGAACAAGAAAAAGAACATTTTAATTGACTTTGCAGTCTGTTATTTCTCATTTCTGTGACTTTGTATTAAACCTTTACGCTAGCTTTCCCGTGGTTTACACACGTGTTGCTATTCCATGGCGGGAAGTTTAGCATGCCACGTGGTTGTCATATTGCGTTATTAACCAAGTATTTCATGTCCCGTGGTCGCATTCACTTAATTTTCAATGTTTTGTACGTGTATATTTATGCTGCTGGTTCCGCTGTTAGCTACATGCTTGCGTGTTTGCTATCAGGCGTTTACTGGGTGTTCTGTCTGTGGGCAGAATATCCCTAGAGCTGACAAGCATGATAAATGCTTGTGCTGCTTAGAGAAGGTGAGACATCACCCTGATGTCTGCAAACTCTGTAAGGCCTTTTCCCCCCGGGCACAGAAGAGAAGGGTGGCGGATTTCCTTTTCTATAAGGAATTGCGAGAGGTGGGAGGGGAACTTACCCAGGAGGTCCCCCCGTCTAAAGCCAAAAAAGCCAAACAAGCTAAAACTAGGTCTTCGCATAAGTCGCATTCCCAATCATCCCAATCTAGTGGTTTTGATATGTCAATAATCACTCAATTGTTTCAGCAGCATATGGACACTGTGAAGTCCCTTGTTCATGAATTCGTTGGAGGTCTCCGCTAGGAGTTCCTCGCCCACTCTGAACAGGGGACCGAGAGTCCAGGGGTGGGATCGCCGAGCCCGGCTCGATCCCTTAGCCTGGAGGCGACTGTCGATCCTTTGCCTTTGGCTAGATGCCTCGGCTACCCCGGAGGGGGAGGGTTCGCTCCCAGTCCCCCTCTCGGTGCTGGCGCAGGGTCTATTGAGGATTCCCGGGGTTCCGGTCCTTGCGCCACCCCGCCCCATGAGAGCGGAGGAGTCGGTTCTGCCCGTCTTCCTCCCGTGTCTCGGGACCAGGGTTTGAGTAATGTGTCGGTTGCCAGAGCAGGGAGTTCCTTCGGCTCTTCCCTTCCCTCGGTGTCTGGGGCTCGGCCTCCCACTGGGTCGGGGTTCGGATCCTCTTCACGAGGAGACCCGAATTCTGACTCGGGCTTGGGTGCCGAGTCTATGGACGTTGGGGAGGTCGAGGAGCCGGAGGGCGCTTTCCGTTTCTCGTCGGCACTCCGCGGTACCCACATGTCACTCGGACTCAGCTGAGTTCGGTCTGCATGATTTACCCTAACTTGTTGAGAGGTACAAGCTGGGGGACGATTCTCTGTTCTTTCTGCCGGAGGTTGACGAGTGCATGTTCACTTCGGTCACCCTCAGGGGAGGCTCAGCTTCCTCAGGTGCAGCCCCGGCTGCCAAGCAAGGGCGTTTAGTTCCACCGTTTGCCCTAGCGGGCGCCCCCTTACATCAAGCATATCAGACTTATGAGGAAGTCTACCGGAATGCCATGCAGCAGGTGCGGGTGGTGATCCATGAGGCCTACCTTTCCTCTATTCAAAGGTCGGCTCTGGAGGCGGAAGGGAGCACTGGGGACATTTCCCCACATGTTGTTCTGCTTGCCAATGGTCCGAAGTGCAGGCCCACCCGGTGCGAGACTCTTTGCGGTCTGCCGCGTCTACGGTGATGTGCGCAGTCATAGGGATGCGCAAGCTGTTGCTGTCTACGTCCCGTTACTCGGCAGCGACACAACAGACCTTGAAGGCCCTTCCGTTCTGGCTGGGATTGACATTGTTTACGGAGGCACAGCTGGTCATTCGGGAGGCTGCTGTCGCAGCTACCTCCTTCAAGGACTCTTAAGGCCTTGTTGGAGCAACCGCGGGCTTCGCGCTCCCACGCTTCCGTAGCGGGTTCCTCCTCCAGGCCACAGCCTACGCTCGAGTCTGCTGGCTGGCTTCACCCGCTTGGCAGGGGTAGGAGGAGGAGCCGTCCCGCCAAAGGTAAGGGCAAGGAGCAGGCCTCTTCGTCTGGCTCCCATCAGCCTTTTCGCGGTCGCGGGGGGCCTCCCCCCGACCTCCCGTTAAACCTGCAGGCTGTCGTCGTGGGTCCGTCCCAGTCAGTTCCTTCTGCACGTCCGAGTGGGGTGCTGCCTCTCTCTATTCCTGCCGGATCAGGAGAAGGCTACCAGCAACACTTGGGTGCTATCCACCGTCAGTGTCGTCCATCTCCCACTGTGGAAGCGAGGCCAGCCAGAGTTCACCAGCATACGTCGCACTTCGGTGCCGTCATGTCAGGACGGGTATACTGCGAGACGAAGTTCAGGATTTGCTGGACAAGTCCGCAAAAGAGCGCATACCACCAGGCGAGGAACAGGCGGGATTTTATTCCACGTACTTCATCGTTCCCGAAGAAGTTCTGTCCCATTCTCAACCTCCAGGGGTTGAATCGTATGCTAGAGGTTCCATCCTTCAAGATGGAGACACTTGGCTCGGTGATCTCCTGATCAGCCCAGCGATTGGCTTACGTCGATCGACCTAAAGGATGCGTATTTACATGTGCCAATTCATCCCTCATTCAATCAGTACCTCCGGTTCTCTTATGACAGGATGGGTTACCAATTCACGGTGCTCCCCTTCGGCATATCCACTGTCCCCAGGGTGTTCACCAAGCTCATGTTAGTGCCAGCTACCCTCGCACCATACCCTTACCTCGACGACTGGTTGCTCAACTCAGCCAGCGAGCCTAGATTCTACCCACACAGTGATAGACATTCTAGTTCGACTGGGTTGGATCATAAACCTCAAGAAATCCGACCTGGTACCCACCCAGGACTTGTTTTTTCTTGGGGCACGGTTCACAACTCACAAGGGTCTTGTCTCTTGTCGCCCGACCGGGTCACCAGAGTACGGGATATGGTGTCTTCGTTCCTCTCCCAGCCACAGGCACCAGCGTGGACTTGGCTCCGTCTACTGGGTCATATGGCGGCAACTATCTCTGTAGTATGGCGGGCGCGGTTGAGGATGCGCCCTATACAGCAAGCTTCCGCGAGTCTGTGGGCTCACTCGGAGGATCTGGAGCAGTGTCTCACAGTCCTCGGGTGGTTGTCTCCTCACCTTCAGTGGTGGACCAATGTCGGGAATCTCTCCAAGGGGATCCCTTTGGAACTTCTGACGCCATCTCTTACAGTTCAAACCAATGTGTCCCTCATGGGTTGGGGAAGTGTTCTGGGCAGTCTATCAGTGTCCGGACTCTGGTCCTAAGACGAAGCCCGCCTTCACATCAACGTCTTGGAACTGAGAGCTGTGCGGTTGGTTTTTGAGCGCTTACGGGAGCATGTTCAGGGGCCAGGTGGTTCATCTTCAGTTGGACAACCGTACGGCCATGACGTACATCCTGAAGCAAGGCGGCACGGTGTCCCTAGCGCTCCTTTGGGAGACGTGGGAATTTCTCCTCTGTTGCGACCAGTGCGACTGTCAGGTGATTCCTGTTTATCTCCCGGGGCTGGAGAATGTGGGAGCAGACGCTCTCTCTCGCTGGATCCTGGCCCCGCACAAGTGGATGCTCGACCAGCAGATATTCGGAGTTATCTCCCAGTTGTACGGATCGTTCCAGGTGGATCTGTTTGCGTCGGGCGGGACGAATCAGGTACCCGTGTTCTGCTCTCGAATACCGGACCAGAGGGCGTTGGCTTCCGACGCCTTCCGGCTGGATTGGACGGGCAAAGTGCTCTGGGCGTTCCTGCCGCTAACACTCATTCCCCGGGTCCTCTCCCAGCTGTCCACCCAGCCAGCTCGGCTACTTGT